TCTGATCTACCTGGACTGTTCCTGGAAGGACCCTTCTCTGTATCCTGGTGTGTATATATAATACAACATATAGCTCCATTCATCTGCCCTGTCTGAATTGACCCCTCTCTGTATCCCAGTATATTTAACTTTCTCCATCTGTTCCTGTATGACACATATAGCTTCCTCCGTCTATTCCTGTATGACATCATATAGCTTCCTCCGTCTATTCCTGTATGACATCATATAGCTTCCTCCGTCTATTCCTGTATGACATCATATAGCTTCCTCCGTCTATTCCTGTATGACATCATATAGCTTCCTCCGTCTATTCCTGTATGACATCATATAGCTTCCTCCGTCTGTTCCTGTATGACATCATATAGCTTCCTCCGTCTGTTCCTGTATGACATCATATAGCTTTCCTCCGTCTGTTCCTGTATGACATCATATAGCTTCCGCCGTCTGTTCCTGTATGACATCATATAGCTTCCGCCGTCTGTTCCTGTATGACATCATATAGCTTCCGCCGTCTGTTCCTGTATGACATCATATAGCTTCCTCCGTCTGTTCCTGTATGACATCATATAGCTTCCTCCGTCTGTTCCTGTATGACATCATATAGCTTCCTCCGTCTGTTCCTGTATGACATCATATAGTGTATAACTCCGCTCACCATGACTTGTCCCTGGAAGGATTTACCTCTTTATCCCAATCTCCCTATATATATATATAATACATTATTTAGTCTGATCCACCTGGACTGTTCCTGGAAGGACCCATCTCTGTATCCTGGTGTGTATATATAATACAACATATAGCTCCATTCATCTGCCCTGTCTGAAGGGACCCCTCTCTGTATCCCAGTATCCCTCTTTATTGTATTACTTCATCCATCCCACCCTGTCCTGAGCTCCCAGACCACATATCCTCTATATGATCATGGATTGGATGTATTCATCTAGCTATCAGTCAATGGTAGGATGACATTCATTGTACATAATATACAGCATATAGCTGTCCCTGGAAGGACCGCTCACTGTATCCTAGCAATGTTATATATTGTATTACTTCCATCCCACATCATGTTGCCTAATAATCCTTCATATTATATATCCTATAGATAATATATCCCCCCCCCCCCTTCCCCGTCTCTGGAAGGACAACATTCGGTATTTTTAATATATATTGTGTAATTCATCCACCTTGCCCTCCAGTATATTCGAGGAACATATTCTATATTGCATGTTTTTTTTTTCCAGCCTCTTTTCTGTGGATCTTCTTCATATGTAATGTATATATTGTATAGTGTGATCCATCCTGCTGTGCCTTGGTATTCCCCTCTTTGTATCTTAAGTACTGTTGACCTACATGTAGGCATTGATATCTCTTCACTGTATTCTAATAAATCTAATTTGTAGCAAGATTTTATTTTTTAGCCCTCCATTTTTATATTCTAGTTTTTTTCCAGCCCAGGACACCCTGCTGTGTTCAGTGCGGGCTGCATTGTATCTGAACAATCTCCTGTATTAGGCGTTGTATATTTTCATCCTTCCACTCTGTCCCACAACACTTTCAAGTGTCTCCTGATAACCCTCTGTTCTTTTTATCCTGCTCCTATGTTCTGTCCCGCATCCGGTGTGTTGTATCCTCCGAGCTATACGTTTATATGAGCTTTATCCATCCCACCATGTCTTAAGATCCCCTCCAAGATATCCTCATAATCCACTATATGATTTGTGTACATAATATAACTTGATCCAGCTTTTAGAAAAAGAAAAAATAAATGTCACATCGCCTCCAGGTCTGTGTTCCCTTTTATTGTGTATTGACCCTTTTATAGTGTCTTATATTATCTGACTTTTCTTGCCCCTTTTTATATATTAACAAATCTTCATAAAATTGCAGCATCATTGACTTATTATTATACAGGATTTGTATAGGGCCAACAGTTTGTTCAACGCTTTACAATATACTAGTACTTTTTTTTTTTTATCACTTCATCTTACTAACCCTCAGTATTCTACATTGTTGTATACTGCTCCTGACACCATGATATGTTGTCCTTTTTATAAATCCTTATCCATCCATACAATATCCCCTCTCATAACCCTTTCCTGCTACTATGATTCTGCTTCTCAAATCTTGCCAATTGTCTCTGTGACCGCTTTAGTAGAAGCACATACTAAATATCTGGTTATGTAAATCTCATATTTCAGCATAACCCTTCACTGTAAGGGCACATTCACAGCTATTGTGTTGGACTGCCCTGGGAAATCCCAACACAAATACAAGGAGATTTAAAGCGGAACTTAACCCATAACTACTAAAGTTAGTGTGTGCTGTAAATTGCCTCCAACATTGACCCCGTTTTCTTCTTGCTGGAGGATATCATTTTGCTGAAGCCCAGAGCCCCTGAACAGCAGTAAATCTGCATTTTAGACACAGTGCCAAAAATAGAGAATAACTGAGAATGTGCAGAGCTGGGTGAGACACTATTGGTTTTTATACCGTATGGACACTTCTTATTTTCAATGTTTTTACATGCCTATACCTGCAAAAGGGACCAGTCTGAAGTGATCTAGCAAGACTTTATCCACTTTAACTGGTTTGCTCTCAATTTCATAGCACTGAGTTGCAGTAGTGTGTGGTGCAGAACTGCATACAACACAAACCACCACCTCGCAACACCACTGCAATGAAGTTCTAACAAAAAAGGAAAAAAAAATTGGCATTGCCACGTGTCCGCTAAAATGCAGTGCGTGTGTCGGGAAACATATAGTTTTGCACATGTTCTTGGCACACAGTGTGAGCCAGGGGCGGACTGACCATTTGGAAACTCGGGCACTGCCCGAGGGCCCGGGGTCAGTAGGGGACCCCCGTAAAATGTCCCTGGTACCTTTTTTCATAGGCTTTTTTGAGTTTGAGCAAGGACACAGGGGCCCCATGATCTCCTATTGCCCAGGGGGTCAGTAGGGGGCCTCCATGAGATGCCCCTGGTACCTTTTTCATAGGATTTTTTTTTTGAGCAAGGACACAGGGGCCCATGATCTCCTATTGCCCAGATGCCCCCTGGTACCTTTTTCATAGGATTTTTTGAGTTTGGGCAAGGACACAGGGGCCCCATGATCTCCTATTGCCCGGGGGCCCCATTAGTTGTCAGTCCGCCCCTGGTGTGAGCATAGCTTTAAAGTGTTACTAAACCCCGGACCCCGCATTCACTCTATCGGGTCTTCCACAGTACACACAACATGGAAATGCAACTATTTAGTAAATATAAACTGCTAAATACCTTTTCTCACCAGCAGCATATAGCAGTCTTGCCACTTCTATCAGTGTCTGGCTCAGCACTGGTTAATGCTTGTAGGAGGCGTTTTCATTCTGCTATGACTGTCCTATGAGGCTGTATGACCCCTGTCCCTGTATCTGGACAGTGCTAATTGTCTCTGTGCAGATCACATACACCTGCCCTGCAACCCCCCCCCCCCCCCTCCCAAAAAAAAAAGCTCTGTGGCAATACACACCAAACTGAGCATGTGCAGAGTGCCTCCTAAAGCTCTGTAGTATCAGCAGATGGATTGGGGACAGTAGGAGGGGAGGTCAGAGAAGACAGGATCAAACAGCCTTTTTACACAATGCAGAGGGTTAACCCCTTAGGTTTCACAGTGAGTATAACAAGCACTGTTTACTGCAAACACAGACTGATTTTACTGTTGAAGGTTTAGTAACACTTTCGGTGTCATGAAGTGCACACATTTCCTCACATTCCGCTGTGTTGCATGTAGGGCAGCCCATTTTTTTTTTAATAGCCTGTCAAATGTGCAAACGTTATTCCTGATCCTTTCAGAATCGCTCCACATCAATACGCATGGTGCCTTTTGGCCTGCACATCAGCAAATGTGTGGGCGTGCCATTGAGAATAAAGAGGGCGGCACATGAAACACACGAAGTGTGAACATAGCCTTCACCTTTGTATATAATTGCATGCTTGGGCTGAAAACGTCCATGTCCTTCGAGTTAAACCAATAGGAAGAATTTATGAGTAAAAAAAAAAAAAGAAATTGAGGCCTATATATACTGAACCCTACACCGTCAGTTGGTCCAGAAGAAGGCGAAAAAAACAAAACAAAAAACAAACTCTGATAAAGCATGATCCATTGTGTTCCAAAGAGGGAACAAATTCCTTCCTGATCCCCTAAGGCAATGTGATATTCCTGGATCAACAATCTCTGGGATTATTATTTATAAATGTTAATATCCAGTAATATTCTGTGGAGGAATGCATCCAGCTTTTCTTCATTTGAATCTGTTTTGTTCACATTCCGTTCTATCTAATCCTCCTCCTTTCTTCCTGGCTAAAAATTGCTGTGTAGTTAGTTTTTTTTTTTTTTTTTTTTTATCTTTCAGTTCTTTCTTCTGTTGCGTTGTAATCATGCATCTATAAAATGTAACAACTCCTCTTGCACATTGTCCTTTTTATTCACCAAACATTTTTGTCCCCGGCCTCACCCAGATATGAAATGTTACTTTCAATTTCTTTTCCCTTGCCGTGTTGGGGGACCTGTTTTTTTTTTATGAACATTGTTGCTGCGTGACTTCAACGCACGGCTTCAACACCTCAGCGCACAATGTGTTTTATCTTTTTTTGTCTCCTAGATAATGGTCTGTGAATATCTGTAAATGTATAATTGACACAAGGTGGCCTATCAGTTAATTGGATTTGTATTACAAGGAAAGTCCTTCTGAGATGTCTCCCCTCCCCCTCCTATTCAGCAATATGGTCCTTGCTAACCCCCCCCCCCCATATGTACATTTTTCCCTTTAACTGCTTCTTCAGTTGCACCTCTTAACAACATCTGTGTATTCTGCAACAACCCCCCCTCAAAAAAAAAACTGCAAGTGAGGCTGTCCGGTCTTTTTGAATCTTATACTTTATGGTCCAACTTTCATTTTCCTTTTGATCTTTTTTCCTTTATTAGCTGAAAGGTTGGGGGCAGCTCAATTCTAGCTGATTAAAGTTACCAAACCCACAATTGTAAAATCAATCTGTATATGCAGTAAAGCATGCTTGTTATACTCACTGCGGGACCTAAGGGGTTAATCCTCTGCATTGTGTAAAAAGGATGTTTGATCCCGTCTTCTCTGATCCTCCCATTCTACTGTCCCCAATCCATCTGCTAATAGCACAGAGCCTTGGGGGCGAGGTTCACATGCTCAGTTTGGTGTGTGTAGTTTGTTTGTTTTTTTTTCGTCTTGGGAGAGTGCATGTGATCAGCACAGGTCCAATCAGCACTGTTTTGGCAGAGGGTCGGGTTATGCAGCTTCATAGGACAATCAGGGGAGAATGAAAACTGCTACAAGCTTTAACTAGTGCTCTTCTGGACACTGACAGAAGTCACAAGATTGCTATATACTGCAGATGAGAAAAGGTATTTACCAGTTTATATTTACTAAAATTGCATTTCCATGTACTGTGGGAGATCGGATATAGTGAATTCGGGGTCCGGGGAGAGCGGATATAGTGAATGCAGGGCCCGGGGAGAGCGGATATAGTGAATGCGGGGTGCGGGGAGACTGGATATAGGGAATGTGGGGTCCGGGGAGACTGGATATAGGGAATGTGGGGTCCGGGGAGACTGGATATAGGGAATGTGGCCGGGGAGACTGGATATAGGGAATGTGGGGTCCGGGGAGACTGGATATAGGAATGTGGGGTCCGGGGAGACTGGATATAGGGATGTGGGGTCCGGGGAGACTGGATAGGGAATGTGGGGTCCGGGGAGACTGGATATAGGGAATGTGGGGTCCGGGGGACTGGATATAGGGAATGTGGGGTCCGGGGAGACTGGATATAGGGAATGTGGGGTCCGGGGAGACTGGATATAGGGAATGTGGGGTCCGGGGAGACTGGATATAGGGAATGTGGGGTCCGGGGGAGACTGGATATAGGGAATGTGGGGTCCGGGGAGACTGGATATAGGGAATGTGGGGTCCGGGGAGACTGGATATAGGGAATGTGGGGTCCGGGGAGACTGGATATAGGGAATGTGGGGTCCGGGGAGACTGGATATAGGGAATGTGGGGTCCGGGGAGACTGGATATAGGGAATGTGGGGTCCGGAGAGACTGGATATAGGGAATGTGGGGTCCGGGGAGACTGGATATAGGGAATGTGGGGTCCGGGGAGACTGGATATAGGGAATGTGGGGTCCGGGGAGACTGGATATAGGGAATGTGGGGTCCGGGGAGACTGGATATAGGGAATGTGGGGTCCGGGGAGACTGGATATAGGGAATGTGGGGTCCGGGGAGACTGGATATAGGGAATGTGGGGTCCGGGGAGACTGGATATAGGGAATGTGGGGTCCGGGGAGACTGGATATAGGGAATGTGGGGTCCGGGGAGACTGGATATAGGGAATGTGGGGTCCGGGGAGACTGGATATAGGGAATGTGGGGTCCGGGGAGACTGGATATAGGGAATGTGGGGTCCGGGGAGACTGGATATAGGGAATGTGGGGTCCGGGGAGACTGGATATAGGGAATGTGGGGTCCGGGGAGACTGGATATAGGGAATGTGGGGTCCGGGGAGACTGGATATAGGGAATGTGGGGTCCGGGGAGACTGGATATAGGGAATGTGGGGTCCGGGGAGACTGGATATAGGGAATGTGGGGTCCGGGGAGACTGGATATAGGGAATGTGGGGTCCGGGGAGACGGATATAGGGAATGTGGGGTCCGGGGAGATGGATATAGGGAATGTGGGGTCCGGGGAGACTGGATATAGGGAATGTGGGGTCCGGGGAGACTGGATATAGGGATGTGGGGTCCGGGGAGACTGGATATAGGGAATGTGGGGTCCGGGGAGACCGGATATAGGGAATGTGGGGTCCGGGGAGACCGGATATAGGGAATGTGGGGGTCCGGGGAGACCGGATATAGGGAATGCGGGGTCCGGGGTTTAGTAACACTTTAAGTACACAGATTAAAGACTAAACCCCCATTCACATCTATGCGATTTGACAGTTCACACCCTTTTTGTGCATATGGAACCATTCAGATTGGTGCGACTCTTTACTTTTCAGTGCATCATCGATGTTGAAATGAGATTCCTGCACTATTGTTGCCGAATTCATGAAGCCGCACCGATGTCAGGCAAGCCAGACATGAAATCGCACGATTTCAAAGCCACATTGGGTGTGGAAATTTCTGAAAAAACTACTTGTCCAGGGAATAAATTGATGTCCCAACCTACTTGTCCCTCATGACAGTCTACTTGTCCTGATAAAACCAAAACCGTATTTAAATCGGAGGTGCTTTATGGAATGTCGTGGGCTTTTAAAAACGAAAGGGGCTTTATGGCGACTTAAACAGCGCAATGTTAAAAATACTAATTTGTTTATCTCCTCCTCCCCTCCCGTCTCCAGCACAGCACGCGGGGACTAGCGGGGAGGGGAGAGACCTTGCAGTGTAATGAGCACCGATTGGCTGCTTGTCAGGAAAGGGGAGTGTCCGGCTTATCCTTTATCCCTTTTGCTGCCAGAGCCATTTTTTGCGTTTTTTACTTTTTGTTTTTTTGTTACACGCTTAAAAAAAGTAATTTAAGGCCTGAAGATTACACAACTCCAAAACGTGATATATTTTCTGAAATCAGAATAAAATAGCTGTAATTCCAATTTTTTATGTCACACGATATTATCACAAAGGTCTAGGAAACACAACATTTCAGTAAATACACTTAAGCTAATTTTAGGGCACAGAAAGCAATACATTATCCATTTTTTTTTCTTTTAAAATATAAAAGACGATGTTGCATCGAGTAAATATCCAAAATGTCAAACCTCAAATTTTGCATGCGCTTTTGAAATGGCAGCAAACATTGGTACCCTGTATTTTCTATAGGTGATGCTTTTAAAGCCCTTTATAGGTCACCAGTTTAGTGTTACGGAGGAGGTCTGGTGCTAGAATTATTGTTCTCATTCTGGCGTGTGCGGCGATATGTAACGTGTGTATCACAATCGTCGTTTGCATATGTGGGTGTCCCAGCAAGTGCTTTTATGTTTGTGCATGAGTACATATGATGGGGTGGGGGGCCTTGAAAAATCTGGTGAGGGGTTATATGCTTGGGTGTAACTTACATTTTTTTTTTTTAAAATTTTAAAAAATATATTTTTTTTTTGTTTTAATCACATAGGGGACAAAAAGTCCCCTATGGGATCATTTTTTTTGGTGACGGGTTCTCGTTTTATGAGACATCCAGGGTCTAAAAGACCCTGCATGTCTCTCCTGTGCTCCTCTGAATATAATGCAGTGCACATTACTTTCTTTCCCGGCCTTGATGGCCGGGAATCTGTCAACGGGGACACGGAAGTGCTGTCACATCACTTCCGGGTCAAGACAAGAAGGGGAGGGGAGCGCACGTGTCCCTCTCCTCCCTCCCTCCCTCCCTCTATATCCGCATCTCGACATACCACCAGCATACACTTACTGGTCCCGGGCCTGCAGATGGGCTTGTGAAGTTCACCCGAATGCTTCCACCTGACAGGTGAGCCCGCTGCTTGGCCGCAGCAGGGGATACAGACTGCTTTTGGTACCTATTTTTTAATATATATATATATATATATATATATATATATATATATATATATATATCCTCACATTTTTAGTATGGACCAGTTATAGGTCCCCAACTTACATTCATACATACACAAACTAAGGCCAATTTAGACAGGAGCCAATTCACCTACCAGCATGTCTTTTGGAGTGTGGGAGGAAACCAGAGTACCCTGAGGAAACCCACGCAGGCACAGGGAGAACATGCAAACTCCAGGCAGGTGGTGCCGTGGTTGGGATTTGAACCAACAACCCTAGTACTGCCAGGTGGAAGCGCTTACCATCTGCATGTAGGAGGATGCTGTGGGGTTGATTTGCTAAAACTGGAGGGTGCAAAATCTGGTGCAGCTCTGCATGGGAGCCAATCAGCTTCTAACTTCAGCTTGTTCAATTAAGCTTTGACAATAAAACCTGGAAGCTGATTGCTTTCTATGCAGAGCTGCACCAGATTTTGCGCACTCCAGTTTTAGTAAAGCTCCCACTTTTTTCATCCTGAAAGTATATTCCCAGTGTTAGACTGACAGTAGAGCATTATGCCTGGTTGGCTGATTCTATTAGACATCCTCCTTTCTCTGTTGCTGTGTAGAAGATTAGATATCAATATAAATTCCAGCACTTATTCTTGCTGTATTTAAAATACATTTAATGACTTCTTTTTAGTGAATATGTCTCTGGAATTAAGCTTATAAGGCCTCATTCATTCAGGCGTACCTAAGCATACGGGATGGCCATTGTGCACACGGGGATGCACTGTGCTGTACATCCCCTTGCATGTAGTCTATTCATGCCAACTGGGATGCAGCAGCTGCACGGCTCCAAAAGCAGACAATGTGCATCCAGAGGTGTGCACCTGCATGGCTGTCAGATTGGGAGTCACAGCTATATCTGTGGAGCTGCAGCATTCTAAGGCTACACATCTATGTGGATTGTGATTTCAGTGCGTTTTGCTCCGTTTTTTTTTTTTTTTTTTTTTTTTTTTTATATACATTTTGTTTTTTGCCATTAGGAAAGTATTGTCTTTGATGTAACTTTGGCTGGGTGCAACTTTGATGCAACTTGAATTTGACTTTGGATGCATGTGACTTTGATGCAGTTTTACTTTTTTCTTTTTTTTTGGTAATAGGAAAGTATAACAGTTCTGTTCATGTAGTTCAACTTTGATGTGACTTCAATGAGAGATTACACTCTCTCTGGCACTCAAGTAGCATCAGTCACACCAAAGTGCTAACCCTAACATGCGGCTTTGGACACATAAAGGTTCCTGGACTACTTTGATGTGATTTTGATGCTATATGATGAAGAAAACAGCGAGTGCTCAGGATTCCAATGGAATCAGCAACATGTGTGCTGTAAAGTAACCCAAAGACCTTAAATAACATATAAAATCAATAAGTGCAGCGCTAAAATTTATTCAAAGTGAGTAATCGTGATGAAATAAATGAATACAAATGTTGAGTCCTTCATTATAAGAAGCACAATATATTGCGTGCAACTAAAGTCAAACAGAAAAAAGTTCATATAATGGTGAAAATTTGACACCTGTCAGAAAATGGTGCTATGTGAAGATCCTGTTGCCCTAGTGATATCAGAAGGATTTCACGTGATTATACTTCATTAAGTTCATGCAGGAGATATGGTAAAAAATGCGCACTCACCAGATGCGCATAATAAATACGCAATTTGTAACATGATGGTTGTAAGATCTGCCAGAAGCCCCCTTTAAAGTGGACCAAGTGTGCAGCATGGAAAGAGACTCCCCCCTCTGGACCTGGGACTGCCCTGCAGCTGTTCTCCGAATAGGGTCCTGAAAGCTATTTAACTCAATGCAGAGCCAAGAAAGAGGGTGCCCATAGTGTAGTAATTAAATATTTATTATGGTAAAAACACATTGTCATCCACATGGAGAAATCCTCAAAAAAGCTGAGCAGTAAAGCATAACACTGACCAGCCACTTTCTAAGATGGCCACCGGACCTTCGAGAGGCTCCGACGTCATGGCGTAAGGCTCCTCCTTGACGCTTTTCTTGCGCTCTCGCGTTATCAAAAGGGGTGTGCCGATGTCTGCCCTTCACCAGCTTCCTTCTTCCGACGCTTCTGCCTGGCTCTTCTGTAACACGAAAATTTTGATGTTACTTGAGTGCCAGAGAGTGTAAAGTTGCATAAAAGTTGCACTACATGAACAGAACTGTATGCTTTCCTATTGACGAAAAAAGTCGCATCAAAGTGCCACCCATCCAAAGTCAAATCAAAGTGAATACTCTCCTATTGGAAAATAAACCCACATAAATGCAACACTTGCATTTTTGGGTGCGGGTCCAATGAAGTCTATTACACACAAAGCGCAATCTACTGTGGGAAAACAAGTCCCTGACTCTTTCCAAAACAACATATCGGCTCAAAACACACAGATGTGAACTAGATCCATAGGAAACCGTGTTAAGTGGACTGTAGTGCGTTTGTGCAAACTGGAAAATGCACTGAAATCCACATAAGTGTGAGCTTAGGGTAAATATTGTAAATGGGACTGCTTGCATGGACCACCTATGCCTCCTTGGGCAGGCAAACACGCCCCCCCCCCCGCACAGGTGTACTCTGTAGTAGGTCCTTGTGAATGAGGTGTAACTGTCTGGTATCTGCACATTATACATGGTTTTTTTTTTATACCTTTTTTTTCCCTCTGACTTCCTCTTCCATTCTTCCTCTTTCTGTGACGTGTTGCTCTTGGTGAAACTTGTAGCAGAGGGATGTGGGGGAAAGGCTGACTTTGCACAGTTCTTGCTTAGAAAAGGAAACCAAAGGCCTGAAATTTCTGACGGAAGATCTACCAGTGGCCTCCGGACTCCACCTTCCTCTTTGTACTTTGATGAAAGAAT